TCCCAGAACAAAGACTCCATTTGGCAGCTGTTGCTCAGAGCTGAGTGGAAGAAACAAAAGAGTTTGTTGAGCAAACATGAAAGGAGGCTAATTGATGCAATTAAGGTGAAATTAAATAAAGGAAGGTTTTTAGCCCCTAAGTTCATGGAAAATTTTTCACAAGGGTGTCACTGGGCTGGCCATTTGCTGCTTTTAAATAAAGGGAGGCACAGGATGTGGGAAATTGGCCTATTAGACCCTTTGGAGCACATCAGCTGTGGTGATGTGGAAGACACGTGTGCAGTTGTTGGGCCCTGGTTGCCGAGCCTTGCGTCGGGCTTGATGAAGGGTTGGCTTTGATGGAGGACTACAGACAGCCACTTGGGAAGAAGAGCAACAAGACTCCAGGCTCCTGCTATCATGACATCCTGCTTGTTCACCTCATTTTACTGTCTGAGATGACCTGGTTCATTCCAGGGTAAATGGTACTGCTCATCCTTCCACCCCAACACACACACACACACACACACACACACACACACACACACACACACACCTGTGCGTGAACCAAACCACATACTGTTATCTGAGTTTCCTTGAAGTAAAGCTTCTGGAATAAAATCATATCAATACTGAGATATCCCAAATTAAAAAAAACAAACATGAAACAAACCTATGTGCCTATATGTGTTCCCAAGCACTTCCCAGACATCTTAGAACTATAAAAGTAATGTCTGAAATCAACCTGAGTGTGGACATTTATTTAACAAGCAATTCCACGCTACTTACCACACACTAGGTTTTTCTTCAAAACCCTCTAAGAATCTATGAGTTAGGGATACTTTCATGCACTTTCACAGATAAGGATTGGGAATAGAGACATTAAAGGGTTTCCTCAAACCAGTGAGTAGAATTTGAACTCAGAACTCCACAGGCTGTCTACTTGCCCCTAGACAAGGCTCTCTGGAACAGTCATTAAGAAGTGGCACATAGGAAAATGGCGAAGCCCCCAGGCAATGGGAGCAAGTGGGGTGTGCATTCCACACCTGTCCCAGACCTGCCCACGCCACGCAGCACTGACTTCCACTCCAGTCTCACTCCCTGCTCTAGGGGTGGATAGGGGGCATCATCTAGAAAGACTGGAAGGACGGACCATTTAATAAATAACACCCACATGACAGGGCTCAGCATTTTGGAAGTAAGCGTGGATAAAGCTAAAGATCTAGAGTTAGGATGTACCTCAGTTGACAGAGTGTCTACCTAGTGTGCAGGAAGCCCTGGGTTCAAACCAAAACCCAAGGTAAACTGGGTGTTGTTGGCACCCATCTGTAATACTAGGAAGATGTAAGTGGAAGTAGGAGAATCAGAAGGTCAAGTTTATCCTCAACTATATGGTAAGTTTGAGGCCAGTCTTGGCAATGTGAGACCATGTCTCAAGAAGAAAAAAAAAATGTTAAATATCTGATTCGAGTAAAGCTAGAGGCTTTTAAAAATATAGAAAAATACTGGGTGCAAGGAAAAGGCACAAATAAATATAATTGTTAGAAACTGTTTTTGAAATAAATGTTATGTGGTTTTCTCATTTCACAAATGATGAAAGCCAGTCCAGATCAACAGTTCTTAAATTTAATCTTCATTAAAAAATGCTCACCAAGGCCAGCTGGCCTAGGTCTGAAAAAGCATGGGATAAATCCGGACTTGCTGAACATAGCGGACAATGAGGAATACTGAGAACTCAAGAACAATCGCAGTGGGTTTTTGATCCTACTGCACGTACTGGCTTTGGGGGAGCCTGGGCAGTTTGGATGCTCACCTTACGAGACCTGGATAGAGGTGGGCAGTCCTTGGGCTTCCCACATGTCAGGGAACCCTGATTGCTCTTCGAGCAGATGAGGAAGGGGGACTTGATCGGGGGAGGGGGAGGGAAATGGGAAGCGGTTGCGGGGAGGAGGCAGAAATCCTTAATAAATAAATAAATAAATAAAAGAATTCTCAAGTGTGACCCTGTGGCCCTGCTGACACGGTATGATTTAGGACTTTGGACTTCTATCTCCTAGACTAAGAAAATACATTTATATCAGTCAAGGCAAAAAAAAAAAAATTGCTCAGGAGCGTATCAGAAATGCTGGGCTTGACATTGTTGCTGGAAGCTCACTAGAGCTTAGGAATCCATCAGTAGCTGCTTCATGAATTCTAGAATGAGTTCAAGGATCTATTTATCAACAGATGTTAAGACAGGAATCTTGTCTTCAGGTAATTCCAATGCATGTGGCTCACGGCCTTTAGAAATCAATTGATCATGGAAGAAAGCCAAGGGTTCGTTTCAGCATTGTATTGCAGATTACACTGAAAACGCCGACAGCCAGGCCACTCAGTAGCTGAGGATGAGTGTGTGTAGGGGTTCACAGTACATTTCCCCATTTGATTCCTCTACCCTGGGTTTAAAATTTTCAGGTAAACTGAGAGCACAAGCTGTTGACCTTCAGGAAAACCATGATGTTCCTGTTTTAGCAGCAAAATCAGAGGTCAGAATCATGAACACATGTGCTGAAGGCTTATCTTCAGACCTTTCAGGGCTCTCCCAGAAACAGGGCAAAGACAAATAGTCCTGGATCTGAGTGACACAGTCTGTTTCATTACAAAGTTATTGAAAAACTTTTTTTTAAGACCAGGTCTCACTATGTAAACCAGGCTATCCCTGAACTCACAGAGATCTGCCTGCTTCTGCCTCCTGAGTAGGGCATTAAAGGTATGCACCAGATACTTGGCTATATATATATGTATATGTATGTATATATATATGTGTGTGTGTGCGTGTACATATATATGTATATATATACATACATACACAGGAACTTCTCTGAGGTAGAATTTAAATATCAGAAAAGTCATTTATTGTTTCCAGGAATGGTAGCACATGCCTGTGATTTAAGCACTTGGGAAGCTGAGACAGATCATAAGTTTAAGGCCTGGGCTACATAGTAAGACACTGACTCAAAACACTTCATGTAGGGCGAAGGTTTCTGCTGCCAAGCTTGAAGACCCAAGTTTGTCCCTGGGAGTCACATGGTGGAGGGAGAGGACCTATGCTTGAATATTGTCCTCTGTCCTATACACTCATACCATGATAGCCTTGTACACGCAGATTTTTAAAAAGTAAATAAAATTTAATTTAAAATAAAAATGTATTTATTAAAATGGAACGTTGCTAGACTATGGTTACAGATGGTTTTGAGCCACCACATCTGTTCTGGGAATCAATCCCAGGTCCTCTGGAAGAGCAGCCCGTGCTCTGAACCTCTAAGGTCATTATGAGCATCATCATCATCACTTATCCAGCCCCTAAGGACTCCACTTCTTCTTTTCATTCTTCTTTCATACATCACATTCCAACCTCAGTTCCCCCTCCCTCAACTCCTCCCAGCCCCCCATCTCCCCTCTCCCCCATATCCACTCCTCCTCCATTTCCCTTAAAGAAAAAAAGTAGGCATCCCAGGGATATTAACCTAACATAGCGTAACAGGCTACAATAAGACCAGGTATAAAGCCTCATATCAAGGCTGGACAAGGCAACCCAGTAGGAGAAAAAGGGTCCTAAGAGCAGGCAAAATGTATAACAGTTCTGTAGTGATTATAGTGAATAACCTTATCACCAACAAAAACTAAAATAACAGGAACTAACAATCACTGGTCTTTAATATAACTTAATATAAATAAACTCAACTCACCTATAAAAAGACACAGGGTAATAGATTGGATATAAAACAGAATCCATCCTAATGCTGTATACAAGAAACACATCTCAACCTCAAAGACAGATATCACCTCAGAGGAAGAGGTTGGGGAAAAAAATCCAATCAAATGGACCTAAGAAACAAGTTGGTGTAGCTATCCTAATAGCTAACAAAATAGACTTCACACATACTTTTTTAACCTTAAAGGATATTTAAGATCACAAAGGCAGACTAGATTATAGTTTTCTTTCTACATTCCAGGTGTGGGAAACTATGGTCTAGTTACTTAGACTCAGTTTTCTCAGCTGTAAAATATGAAAAGTCTATTTGCCTTGTGGGAAAATTATGAAAATTAAATCATTAGTGAAGCATTTGAGAGAGCACCTATTCATTACTGTTATTACTGTATCTACCACCTAGCCCGGTGCCCCACAAATCTGGGCAAATGAATGAATAACTGAGCCATCATCATCTCTGGACTCAAGTTATTCAGAGTGATACTAGCTAGGTTGGAACCTTGAATTCCTCTTGGTTCCTACTTTCCACAGAGGAAATCATCTATATGTACAGGAAATATATGGGAGCCCAACTGGGACAATAGGCTTGCCTGAGCTGCACCTTTGGACAGCTATGAAATGGTCACACTGAGGTGTTAAGGTCCCTGGGGAACCCCAGGCTGCTGTTCCGCAGAATCACTCTGGGCCAACTTCTTCAGCTTGTTTTTCAAGAGCCAACTCTTCCTGATGGTAGAAACTTTCCACCATATTCTCTGCTCCTTCCACCCCAGGAACATCTGATACTCAGTCTACTTGTTATGTAAATTTTGTGGTCAATATTGAAAGCTTTTGGATTTTTCTCTAAGCATCTCCTTTCCTCTGTCTGACTTCGGGCAGCCTGGTGAAGACGGCACGTATGAAGTGATTAACTCATGTTTAAAGTAACAGGTAAGCACAGAACTTCCTTCCAGCCTGGTGTCTAGCTAGGTCTGCTTTGGGAAGAGGAGCGCATAGTGGAAGGATCCCCAGAGTATCCTGGTTTATACAGCAGAATCCGCAGAGCACCAGGGAACCAACCAGTGAGACACGGGTTGCAAGAGCAGCTCAGAAGGAAAGGGTAAGTCTATTTAACACAGAGAACAAGACTTCATTTTATTGTTTTCTTCTGTGCCCTGAGGTCTGCAAACTTCTGAGGGCACAAACAAGATCTGGAGCCTTGCTTCTTATCAAAATGTCTTTATAGGCCACCGATTTATATCTTCAGTCTTCATAAGCAGAATACGTCATCGTTGTCTTTCTGGACGTTCTCCACTTGCTTACTCAGATGCTCTCTGGTGACAGCATGCCCTAGAGTCCAAGGCCAAGGGAGAACTAAGCGATCTTGGGAGGAAGCAAAGGTGTGAGCAGCAGGGAGTGCTAGGGAATCAAGCAGCTGCCTTATTTCAAGCTATCACGAAAAGGAAGTCCAATTTTCTGTATTTTAATTTTAAAACCCCAGAATACATCTTTGTCGAAGTTCAATCACTAACACTTTTAAGTGTTAAATATGTGTTCGACACTTTCCTAAACCTTCTACGTATATAAATTAATTTCCTTCATTATTTTAGAACTATCTCTTGACTGTAGGTTAAATAACAAAGAAAGTCTCTATAAAGAGAACTGGTAAATATTTGGGATGAACGAGCAAAGCTGCCATGCAGGACTTGCCTGTCATGGAAACCATGTTTGACTTCAAAAAGACAGAGCAAAGGGAAACTTTGAAAGGCTCAGTGAGGAATACATATAAAGTCATTTGTGCCAACAACCAATGGTGTCTAAGGCACAGGAACAATGGAGACACTAGTCTGGGTTAGACAGCCCTATGGAGCAGGTGTCCTTGCAGAAGTATTAGCTGTATCAGGTTGCACTAGGTTTTGTGCAGTGGAGTACCTCGGTAGGGTATATTGGGATAGTACTCACTGAACAAACACAGGAAGACATGATCCCTTTTTTTTTTCATAAACTTCTGTCCTTAATATGCTCTTGATAAGTGACTCCATTTTGATTATGACAGTGTTCACTGAACCTGGGCATTGTTCTAAATCCCAAGGATTCAGCAAAGAAGAGAGCCTTCAGAGACCCTTTGTGGATGTGTGCTCCTCTGTGTTTGCCGGTTCACAGATACACAAGAAGAGCTGACCAAATGTTAGAAGGCAGAGTCAACACAACCGCAACAAATAAAGCTGGGTGTGTGCATAGAGGCGTGGGACCTGGCAGGGTGCTGCAACCTTCAGTCAGGCATTCAGTGAGCACTTCCCTCCCAAAGCTTGGAAAAGAGAAAGACAAAACCCAGCTAACACTTCTGTTAGCTTTAATACTGAATCTTGAGCCAATTCTCTCACCACGAGTTTTGAAAGATGATTGAGCCAAAGCCAGCTCTAAGCAAGCCAAGCATGAAGTCAGCCCCCAGTCGCTGGCACTTCTCGGTGGTGAGTGTTAGAACAGTTGATTCTTCACACTAACTGAGGAAATGGAGGTGTTCCTCAGAGAGGGGCCTTTGTGTTGACAGCTTGGAGAAGGATATAGTCTAGACCCTTCACCCTAGATAGATCCCAGGATACTGTTCTTGCTCTGTAATTACCCTGTTCCTGAGAACTGAGCTTTCTCTCCAGTAGAAACTGATCTAGACACTTTTATTAAGTCTTTGCTTGTGTAGAAGAAAAATAAGGGGTGAAGAGACCAGATATCCCAGGTGCACTTGAGGGGTGCATTTCCCATGCTTGTAACCTGGAAAGCATTTGTGACTTTGCTTCTACCACTTTAGCTTGCATTGCTTTCTTCTAAGGTTTATCTCCTCCTCTTCCCCTCCCTCCTCCCATGCTTTCTCTCCTCTTCTTCCTCCTCCTCTTCCTTTTGCTCTTTTTCCTCCTTTTTGAAGCAAGTTCTCACTGTGTAGTATAGGTACCCAGGCTGGCCTCAAATTTAAGGCAATCTTCTTGTCTTAGCCTCTTGGGTGCTGAGATTATAGATGTGTACGACCATACTCCAACACTTTTCCAGTCTACCAAAGCTCCTTCCTCAAGTCTTGTGGCTCCATATTCTCTACTTCCCTAGTCTGACCCAAGTCAAACAACTATGAAATGTGTAGTATCATCAGTCATGGATAGCTTTAAAATCAATCTAAGATTTCTTCTCCCTTAGAGCTAATTGAATGGTAAAGCTTATTTCTAACTGAAAGAAATTTCAAGGATCAAGAAGTCGTGGACCAAGCAGTGGTGGCACATGCCTTTAATCCCAGTACTCAGGATGCAGAGGCAGGTGGATCTCTGAGTTCAAGGCCAGCCTTGTCTACAAGAACTAGTTCCAAGACAGGCTTCAAAGCTACAGAAAAACCATGTCTCAAAAAAACAGAGAAGAAGAAGAAGAAGAAGAAGAAGAAGAAGAAGAAGAAGAAGAAGAAGAAGAAGGGTTTTTCTCTATTCATCATTTAGAACATTTTTAACCTCTAAAACATTTATTTGGTAATAATTTTATTATAAATTTTGACATAGAATAAATAATAAATAGCTTTGAATAATTGATGCCCCATTTTGTGTTTTGCCAGTATCTTTCTTTCTGGGAATTTACCCCACCTTGCATAACACATACCTAGGCCCCTTCTCCAATTGGTATTCAAATGAATACCCTGTTTCTCTGGATCAGCTCTTCATAAGGTAGGTAAACAAAGCCATCTCCCAAACGCCATTGGAACTCTTAGTATCCAAATCCTTTGTCTTTTCTGAGATCATTGGTGGCGAGGCTCATGAGAATCTATAGTTGACAACAGTCATTTTTTCTGTGGTCTAGAGAGAACTGGGGAAAGAAGTCAACAAATAATACAGGTCAATGTACAGGGAGGAGGGTATTTCCCAATAAAGGGGGGCATCTAGGACTGAGTCCTGTAAAATCCTAGATACACCAGGAGAGTTGGACATTCTAGCCTGGAGTCCCAATGATGTCATTGAAGCACTAGTCCTTTGAAGGATCAGAGACCATCTATTTCTGTACTTCTTAGTTATGAGAAACAATATTCTTTTTTTTTGTTTTAGCAAACCCAACAGACCCTATCAGTGCAAATTCTCAATCATCAAACAGAAGTTCACTTATTGTATTTCAGTTATTATAATCACTTGTTATAATATGAATTCCAATAATTCAGATTATTAGAGCATCCACAAAAACCCAAACACCTTTAATATATTTTTTTAATATTTGGTACCATAGGCATTCTGAGAACTCATGCTGGGATCTACTAAAATAATTTCAGTCCCCTCATACAGATGCTGACCCTGAATTCCATTCTTAGCGAGCATTCTTGTAGTTTAAAATGCACACCCATACACACTGCAACCTAAAAAATAATGATAACATTGTAAGGTTTCCGCAAGCATGGCTTGGAATAGACACCCAAAGAATCAATTTGGAAGAAGAAATGTAGACATGGTAGCAGATTGGTGACCAGAGTCCAGCATTTGCTTTTTCAGAACTGACCTTCATGAATTCGCCACGGAACCCATTCCTGGATGAACCTATGTGAAGGCGCTGAACACAGAGGCTAAAAGATGCCCTGAATCCTGATGCTCCCAGTTCAAAGCAGATGGATCAGGGAGGGATTGGAGGAATGCTGTCTCCACCCCAAGGCATTGCCATCTTTTTATTGCTCCCCCGACTTTATTGTTACTGCTGAGCACTGAAGCTTATTTGGCTATTTCCCTGGGTAGGGCAGATATTTCAACAGATGTGAGCTATGCCAACTATCACCTACGGGGAAGGAGATTACAGAGGAAAGAACATCTGAGAGGAATTAACAATACAAACAAAATGGCACGTCAGAAAGAAGAGCGCCACTGGGAGCTCACTTATTTGCCGGGGAAACAGATCAAGTGGCCCTCTCAGAATCTCAGAAACCTTCTCCAGAACTAGTGTGCGTCTGCTCAGTTTTAGGTCCTAGAAGGGTATGAACAGAGAACTAAGGGCTGTGGAGAATCCAAAATGAAGAGAAGATGGTTGCGTTCTTGGAACCTTAACTCAGAAGTCATGCAGTGTCATCTAAAGAGCCTGGGTGCTGGAGGTAAAGAAATCTGACTCCAACCTTCACATCCTCCACTGGCTGCCCCGTCACCTTCATCAAATCAGTTCGCTTGTCTGACCATTAGTTTTCTCGGTGTTGAATGAACCTACACATATGTGCTTTGCAAGAAGAGTATTGTTAAGAAGCCCTTAGTGACTTACTTGAAGTACCTAGAACTGTAACTGGGATGGAGCACTTGTCAGAAAACAAAGTCTGAAACACTCTATAGAGCAAACTTTCGAAGGTAGAATTGGTGACTTAAACCAGGGTTCATTGTTTATATAAATGCTATCAGATGCCTCCTGTGTTCTGAGTCCTGCTAAGGGCAGAGGATTCAGTGGGAAGCAAGAGAGATGCCTTCCTCCTCAAATGTGAAGCTTCAAGTCTGGTGGAAGGTGCATAAAGTGAAGACCAAGTACAGATAGTAGAGGGAAGGCACAGGGTCCTGGGGAGGGAGGAAGAGTCTCAAAGGAGAGAGCACTGGAATCTGAGAAGTCAGGGAATCTCGAGTTTTCCAGTGTGGTGGTAGCAGCTTCCAGGGGCAGGGCACTAATGGAGACAGAAAAATTATATCAAAAATATTTAAGGGGAAAAGTTTCAATGAACTGAGAGAAAGTGTCCAACTGAAGCTTTACTGAGAAGGCTATGGACTACTGTCATTTTTTTCTAACAATCCTAAGCTTCATACCCAGCATTGTGGATTCTCATGGTTTTCCCATATCCTGCAGACTCCTCCCACTTTTAGTATGTGCATCTGTGTCTAAAGATACTTGCTTTAAACCACATGACACACGTTAGTCTTAAAGCATCAGGGTTCCAACACTTCTCAGGTAAGATGTCCAACCATGACACACTAACACAGTCACCAAAATGTGTGGGACATGGAGTTTCATGAGCCCCAAGCCTCATGAGTCCTTCTGAGAATCCAAGTCAGTTGACTGAGACTCAGTCTTGGGTATGGTACCTGGGAGATGCACTGAGCAACTCAGGGGAGGAGACTCTAAGCAGACTGGTACTTGTCTCTCTTCTGAGATTTCCCTGGAGTTCCTAGACGGCACCTACAAATCCTCCACATCATATCATAACCCTCATTCTCTGTCTCCAGTATGTGGCCAGTGGCCAGTGCTATCTGGGGTAGAGTAGGTGCCATCTCTGTCAGTGAGTGCTTTATAAAGCTAAGACAGATTCCTTTTTAACACAAACGGAAGATCTAGATTACTTTGACTGTTAGTTAAACATTACTGTCTTGAGGATTTACCAATTTTAACTCTTATTTATTCAACAAATATTTATTGGTAGAGGTCATTTGCTCAAAAGGCTTGAGACCTAGGTCCAGGCACAGAGAGGCCTGGTTACTCAGGTAGAAATGGAACTGGAACTAAACCTTCGTCACAAATCCGCGAGGTGTCACTGCCTCCCCCTTCCTCCCTTTCCTCTCTGTCTACCCCCCAGAGCCACTCTGACACCCTCTGAAAGGTTATTTTGTCACTTCTAGTCTCTTTCAATCCATTTCTAGAGCATTCATTTCCAGAATTTTCTCTACTTATTTTTCTTTTCAAAATACCTATATGCTGGGCATAAGGCTATTTCAAAGCAAGTCGAATCTTCCACAGAAAGTAAAAGAGCTTGAAAAATGGCAAAATAAATCAATCAATCAAATCTGCTTACATCCGTCACAGGGCTGGTGAGGCAATGGAATTCAAAGGTGAAGACAGACACGAGCAGGGAATAGTTGAAAGTTACGCTAATCCTCTGTAATTGATTTTTCTCCAGGGCAGAGACTATAAATGCTAGCTTTGCCCGGATGTAGGTTTTCTACAAAGGAATAGAGAACCCAGCAGACTGTGTGGCAGTTGGAAAGACAAATTTGAAATTGAAAATCCTTAAACACATGCCCAGTTTTTCCTGACGACCTTTGTTGAACTCTTAAGCTGCATGGCTAAAAGTTAAAACCACAGAGCAAAGACTTGGTGAACACAGTGAAGATTTCTGCAGTAGCTCGGGATAGACTAGGGCATAGGCCATCCCTAAAGTGAAGAGTTTCCTATAACAGTAGGCTTCAATAAAGTGCTTCAAAAGGAGAGGGTGTGTGTGTGTGTGTGTGTGTGTGTGTGTGTGTGTGTGTGTATGTGTGTGTGTGTGTCTTTCAGCCCATAGAGTGGAACTGTTTGCCCAATCCCACCAGGGTCTGGGTTGAGTCAAACCTAGGGGCAGCAATAGTGAGATTCAGTCTCGGTTCATTCATTAATTGGGAACTCACCATCATAGAGAATCAGCTGAGTGACAGTCTTGATCTTTATGTATAGTGTGATATGCTAAGGACACAGACCAAAAGTCTAGGTGAAAACAAACAACGTATACAAAACAACGGGAACAAAACTGAAGATGACCAGATACCAGAGTTAGCATAGTAAGGGTCATCATGAGTCAAATACTGGAGAAAACAGAGAGAACTGCTAAGAAAATAGCCTTAAAAGGAGGGAGGAAAGGGGATACATTTCATTAGACATTTGAGATCTGTTAAAATCGTCTAGTGCCTGAAGAGATGTTCAATCAGTAAAGCTTACCTCGGACACATTAGGACTCCATTTCAATTCCCAAAACCTGGGTAAAACTGCCAGGCAAGGTGATGCATGCTTGTAATTCCATGCCTGTGGAGATAGAGAAAGGAGCTCCCTAGGGCTGGCCAGCTCTTCTAGTAATCACCCAACTCCAGACTGATTGGTGAGAAACCCTGTCTTAAAGGAGGTTAATGGCACTCCTGAGGATGACACCTGAGCTCTTCCTTCGGCATCCATGCCTGTATGTACGTGCACCCCCAAACATACAAGCATGTTCCCATGTACACACATTTTTTCATATAATATATTTTGTATGCAAAATAATATGTTTTTCCCCTTCTCCAACTCCTCCCAGATCCTACCCACCTCCCTACATGCCCATCTTCACATTGTTTTCATCCTCTCTCTAATAAAATCAAAGCAAACATATAAAAAACCAAGAAGTCTTAAAAGAACAGGCTAAAACAAAATGACACAACCTCTCCACAAAACAAACAAACAAACAAACATGGAGTTTGTTTTTGCTGGCCAACTCCTCCTGGGAGCAGTCTAGCCCTGAAGAGAGAAGACGGATTTTTCTCTTTTGCAGCAAGTATCAGTTGCAAATAGCTTTTTGGTTAAGGACAGAGATTCATGTCCTCTTCCTCTCTTGGTGCTATAATTTTGCTCGTTTTGACCTTCTGCAGTTTTGTATATATTGTCACAGTCTTTGTCTAGAAGTCTCTGTGAGGGTCATCGGTCCTGTCCCGTCTGGAATGCAATGTTTCCTTGAAGTCATCCCACCCCCTCTGGCCCTTGTCGCCTTTCTGCCTCCTCATATGCATAGACCACTGTTTCTCCAGGGGAGGGATTTAATGAAGACATGACATTTAGCAGAGAAACCCGCAACTGGGCAGTGTGTAGAGAATGAGAGCTGGGTCGGGAGGGGGAGCATTCAGCTGCTCTTTATAACAACGGTGTAAACTGGTTTTAGCTTTAAATTTGATAAAGCAAGAGAATAACCCATTCTAAACTAGACGGCGCATTTCTCCTGCTTGCTTGTCTCTTGTTTCCCCACTAAATACCACAAAACTGCATATTTAGATTTAAAAGAACTATACCAGTATCATTATTCATTGAAATGTAGCCTGAATAAGCACGATAGAAGAGAGAATGGCTAGGAATTGGGAAAAGGTGAACACTAAGGAGGAGGAAAGAAAAAGTCCAGAAAAAAAAAAGAGAAAACAGTGTACAAAATGGGGAAGACACAGGCAGGCAAAAGTCCAAAAGTGTTGAAAAGGTCAGCCAGCAACTTGATAAGCTCTTCGCAAATTCATCAGGAATGTTAAGTGAGAAACCACACACACTCACAATGAGGACTCAAAATGGGGGATCACTATGTATTAGAAAGAAAGTAACAGCACCATTTAAATATATATGAGAATATATTTCTATTTTATTTGTTTACTTTGTATATATAAATGTGCTGCTTGCAGTCAAATGGACAAATTAAGCAAAAAAATTAAATTACAAAAACTAATTTTAAAAGCAAGCAATACTCTTTTTAATACTATAATATGAAATTGAATCCATCATGAAAATCATTCCCCAAAAGAAAATTATGCTTTGGCCCAAATTAGTTTCGCTAGTGTATTCTTCCAAACATGCAAAGAACAAGTGTACTACCCCTGATGGCTGTGCCTTTAGGGAGAAGAAAAAGAGGAATCCATTCTCTCCTCTTTTTAGAATAACCTTCAAATCATGCAGACCACCTCATCTTTACCATGATGGTAAATTATAAGCTAACATTTATAACCCAATTATAATGTAATAAGGATAATTCATTATTCTCAAATAGGATTGTTCCAGAATGAAGTTTTACATCATGCCCAGGTAGAGTCTAGCATCTGATTAAAGACAGCACATTAGTGGAGAAAAGAGACAGAAACCTATGCACACCTAAGAAAAGACCCTTGTAGATCATAAAACCAAG